AAGCAAAAGGAGAAAGCCATGTGAAATCATTTTCTGAGAAAGCAAAAGGAGAAAGCCATGTGCTCGCGGTTTCAGGCATGTGAAATCATTTTCTGATTTCTGAGAAAGCAAAAGGAGAAAACCATGTGAAATCATTTTCTGAGAAAGTGAAAAGAGAAAGTAAAAGCAAAAGCAAAAGCAAAAGCAGAAGGCAAAAGAAGATAAAAAGAAGCAGACATAATTGTCGTGGTGATGGCATGCAGAAAAGAGAATTATGGGCGTGACCCATTGAGCAGAGGGTCGGATTTATTTTTCTTATCTTTCGGAGACATCTGTATAAACCCCATCAGAGGGTAATTAAAAAAAAACGGCAAGCCCAAAATAATGGGCTGGAATGTTATGTGGAGGGCGAAGGCCCATATGCCCAAAAGAGCCAGACTCGCTATTATCACCAACCAGGTGATCAAAAGTACGCCCAGTACTCCAAAAAATTATTCGGCAGTCTGCCGCCATTATCACCAACCAGGTGATCAAAAGTACGCATAGTACTCCAAAATTATTCGGCACCCTACCGCTATTATCATTAACCAGGTGATCAAAAGTATGCCCAGTACTCCAAAATTATTCGGCACCCTGCCGCTATTATCACAAACCAGGTGATCAAAAGTACGTCCAGTACTCCAAAATTATACATGAGCATCACTCATGTCAATCATACATAAACATTCATGAGCATCACTCATGTCAATCATACATAAACATTCATGTCAACATTCATGAGCATCACTCATGTCAACATTCATGAGCATCACTCATGTCAACATCCATAAGCATCACTCATGTCAATCAACATAAACATTCATGAGTATCACTCATGTCAATCAGCTTCGAAAGCTTCATTTACAGAGTTCCAGCTTCAAAGCTTCATTTACAGAGCTCCAGCTTCAAAGCTTCACTTTAAAAGCTTCACCTACAAAGCTTCAGTGCATGGTATACAAATACCGCTTCCGAACAACCACCACTTCGGCCCATACATGGATTCAATTTGAAGTTTCTAGCCAACAAACTCTATTGACTGAAGACTTGGGGGACTACACTATGTACCATATATTGGGCTTCCTTAACTGGGCCTCATGAAAAATACTTGGGGGACTTAGTCCATTATTTATGTATTGAGGAGCGAACCCTTATTATATAAAATGGACTCCCTCACTTTCATTAGAGAGCATCCATTATTCATGTACTGAGGAGCGAGCCCTTATTTTATAAAAGGGACTCCCTCACCTTCATTAGAGAGCATTGCTGCCAGCTGAGCAACCTCCTCGCTGCGAGCATCACTCCTAACCCATTATTCATGTACCGAGGAACGAGCCCTTATTTTATAAAAGAGACTCCCTCACCTTCATTAAAGAGCATCGCCGCCAGCTGAGCAACTGCCTCGCCGCGAGCATCACTCTTAGCCCATCACTTATGTATTAAGGAGCGATCCTTTATTCTATAAAATGGACTCCCTCACCTTCAACACCACAAGCCGAGCCAACCAAAGAAAAATAAGCCACAAACCGAGCAGCCTCGCAACATGTGCCACTTCTAGTTGAGCATCACTTCAGATTGAGCACCGCCTCATATCGAGCATCAGTTCAAGACAACATCTAGTTACTTCGGCCCACACATGGACTGAATTTCAAGTCTCTAACCAAAAGACTCTTTTGACTGAAGACTTGGGGGACTACTATTTGTACCAAACTTAGGGCCTCCGTATTTAGATCTCGTATAAATACTCGGGGGACTCATATGTAATTATGTAATAAACGAATGGGCAAATATGTAATAAGTGGGGAGCCCTTATTCTATAAAATGACCCCTCACTCTCTTCATTAGGGGAGGCCAATTCTTAGGCTATGGGAAGAGCTCTCTCACCCTCAGAAACTTTCACCATCTCATCCTCAATCCTCTTAGAGAAATACAATATCAGTGTGGACGTAGTCCAAACATTGGGGTGAACCACGATACATCTTGTGTTATTTACTTTCTTACAGATTCATGGTCGGATTTACGTTGTTCCAAGACCTCCGGTTTTGTGCATCAACACATGAGACATTTCTGATTCATCTCTATCTAATCTGCGCTCTGGACAAGAACTAAACGGGACGAAGGTTGAACTTTACCTCTAAAGTGTTATTGGGGCAGGATTTAGGACAAAGATCTGACATGCACATATTAGGGATGAGAGAGAAACTTTGTTCAGCTAGTACCATCATCTCTCTGCAATGGACACCCGTTCCCCAACTCTCCTAAGGATGCAATTGGGGCTTCGGGTTTCAGGAAGCAAGCGGAAACGAAGTGTGTTTCCAACCCCACCCTTTCTACGATGGTCGATACGTGCACAGTTGAAGGGTTGGCAATTTCGTAAATAACCAAAATTTCCAATCTGAAACTGAAGAGGTGGTGGCAATTTTGTAAATAGCTCAAAATCCACGTCAAGTAACTGTTCATTTGAACAATGCAATTGAAAACCTTATTTTAACTAAAGTAATTGTAAAACTACTTTTATGACACATTGGCTGCAATTGAGGGTTTTTTTTTAATATATTTTTTAATTTAGCTATTTAGTACTACAGTTTAGTGGTATTTTTTTTCACTTGTAAGTGAAAGGTCTTAGGTTTGATCCTCGTCAAATGCGAATTTGAACCACATTCTTGCTAGTTCATTGTGAGATTAAGCCTATCCCCTTTCCCTTAGAGAAAATAACATCGTTCAACAAAAAAAAAAATTGTATGAAATTCTAGAGGCATTATTTTCGATCCAACAAATATTCAACATGTGCAACACTACTTTAGGCGAAATATTTTGGTGGCAACCATTCTACGGCTAGGGGATGACTTGGAAAGTTCAAAGGTGGTCAAATTGGGATTTGGATCCTCTTCAGATCCACTTGATCTGAGCTTGCGGATCAAGTGATTTGGGCCGTCAAAATTTGATCAAACGGCTACAAACAGGGGGCCCCTCTAAAAGTTATAATAATTGTAGTCGTTTGATCAAATTTGGACGGCCCATATCACTTGATCTGCAAGCTCAGATCCTTTGGATCCGAAGAGGATCCAAATCCCAATTTGATCAAACGACTACAATTATTATAACTTTTATTTTATTTATCAATGAAAAAGCAAGTTGATAATGAATAAATTCAAGCTCAAATCCTTTGGATCCAGAGAGGATCCAAATCCGTCAAATTAACTCTTTTTTTTTTATTTATAAACCAAATAATCATAATTATGCCCACCCCAGACCCGGATCATCTCCACGTCTCTTTAATTATGAGGATATGACAGATCCTTGAATCTTGGCCGTTCACACAGATCAAACAACCAGAAATTTTTTATTTATTTTTTACACGAAACAAGGTTGCCTTTGTTGAGTGTTAATAAATGACAGCTCAACATTGGTTAGTTAATGAGGCTGTCATGTCATACTAAAGTTGTTAATTAAGTTGTTAAAAAGATTAGTTAGTCGTTAGAAGTGTAAGAATGAAGCTTTAAGCTAGATGTATGTGTGTACAAAAATTCTGTAATTGTGATGATCCATTTCATTAAGTCTGAAATACACTTCATACAATTTACTCTCTCTCTCTCTCTCTCTCTCTCTCTCTCTCTCTCTCTCTCTCTCTCTCTCTCTCTCTCTCTCTCTCTCTCTCTCTCTCTCTCTCTCTCAAGTTTTTCATTTTCTTACATTCCATATTGTTCTTTGATTCTTTCTCAATGTAGTTAATAACCTCACTCCCTTCTAGTTTCTTTCTTCCGTCCCATTTTATCCTCTCTCTCTCTCTCTCTATTCGTAACACCGTCGCCATGGATACTAGTAATCAAGACTCATAACTCACTGTTTTTCTTTCTAATCTCTTTATTTTTTCCCCTTTGATTGCAATGTGCTACCGATACGCTATTAGATTTTTTTGTTACGCCATGGATACTAGTAATCAAGACTCATAACTCACTGTTTTTCTTTCTAATCTCTTTATTTTTTCCCCTTTGATTGCAATGTGCTACCGATACGCTATTAGATTTTTTCCCCGCCTCTTCATGTCTAGGTTCTGAAAGAAAAAAAAAATTTTAAAACCCAAGAACTATATTTACATTTTTTTTTTCCTATTAAGAACTCCATAAAATTAATGATAACAAAATCCAAGAGAAGGTTGGAGATGGAGGCAGTGAACAGAGATAGAAAGATTTAAGGGTCTATCAAACCCGCAGAAAAGACATTCTGCGAGGATCTCAGTCCCGCCACTCATTGTCTATTATTCCACACATTTTAATGAAAGTTTTAATGACAAGCTTACCTTATTGCAAAATTTCTTAGAAGGAGACATAAGAAAATATAAAGAACGTGTTTTTTTTGGGGACTAGAGTGATGTAGGCAACTCCGCGTCTCTCTCTATCCAATGCACCACCGATCCTCACAACCCAACTCAAAATCAAGCAAAAGACCCAAGATTTAAGTTGCTGCTTCATTTAGGTGTTTGAAACTCACATCACAATTAATATTGAAGAGAAATTCGATTGAGCAAATATATTATGCAATTCTTGAATTTAAGAATCGATTTATGGCATAAACGCAAATAGTGGGAAACATGTAACAAATTATTATGGGAGTTTTAACGAAAAGCCCAAGGTACTGTTCACTTTAACGAAAAACCACATTTTTACACTAAAAAGTCAAACCTGGTACTATTCACTTTACCCTTTATTTTGTCCTTATCATTAAAACTCAAAGTTTTCAAGCCTTTTTCATTAGTTTTCCTTTAAAACTTTGGATTTGTCGGCAATAGCACGGATACCAATTTAGGTATTCTTTAGATGGGTTTTGTGATTTGGTCGACAAAATTAGATAAGAGTTTAATGAACCATAAAAAAGCTTACTAAAGTTGGTCTTCAAAGAGCAAAAGATTAATTGTATCTGGTTTTGTTTGTTTGTTTTAATTAGATGCTAGAAGGCTTAGTTTATTGATTTAAAAGGTTGCGAAATTGAGAAGCGATGAACTTACCAATAAATTCTTCAATATTGAGTTTACACTACAAAAAAAATGAGCACTGCGCATAATAAATTATATGTGCCCTTTGAGATCAAAAAGCACCAACAATTGTGCCCATAGACCAATAGCAACAATGCAGCTACTATCTTTGGGTCTGTGCCCTCTATGGGCGTCACCATTGATTAGAGGGCACGATACAGCCATGTGTGCTCAAACATTGAGCACAAATAAGGTTTTTTTTGTGTCCTGTTCTGACACCTGTGTCAGATGCCATTTCAGATTCATGTTAGCACAATTTTTGTAATTGTGCCTTATCAATTAATTTTTTTTTTTAAAAAATAACAAATTCGAAATACCCTACAATCTAAAACAAACATTTGAAAACGTATATTCATCCTTTCAGGCAATCATCCTTCCGGTGGAGGCGCCTGTGCTCCACGCGCCATCCACAACAGCTCCACGCACAGCGACAGTGCGACCTGCAGCCACGCCAGGGGTTTCAGAGTCCGTTTTGGTCCAAAACACAACCATTTTCAACAATTCAAAAGCTAAAACAAAGCTACAAAGGTAAGTATTCGAAATTTACCTACTTCAAGGCCATTGAGTGGCCGGTGATAGCCTAAAATCATAGCCCTCGCTGGAAATCAGGGGAATTTGTCCCCTAAGTTGAAACTGCATCCAAACTTAACCAAATCAGGCATGCAGTGCACGAAAGCGTCTCTAAACAACTTAAAGAACCTAACTAAGGTGTTTTCAAGACTCACCCATACTGAATTCGACGGAAAATCTCGCCAAGGAGTCAAGCCGCGACGGACCTTGTCATTTCATCGCGTCGGTTTCGATTTTCAGAAAGCAAAAGGTAAAGGGGAGTCTGCAGAGAGGAGAGGAAGGTGACGCTGGTGGTTGCCTCGCCGGAGATCGCCAGCTCCGCCGCCGTCATTGCTTATGTGCTTCTCTGTGTCAAGGAAGAAGCCGAGAGGGAGAGACAAAAAGATTGTGAGAGAGCGAGGGTGGCATGTAGTGTTTGGGTGGTGGCAAGGTTCGCCGGAGTGGCTAGTTAGATGGAGATGGATGCTGAGGTTTTCTGTGCAGTGAGCACAGAGATGGTGAAGGAGATCACAGAGAAAATTATGAAGAAGTAAAGTGAGAAAGTGAGAGAAAGGGTTGCGTGAAGGAGGGAGACAGAAGAGTGATGCAGTGCAGAGAGGAGTAGAAGCATGGGGAAGGGTGAAGACCCACGTGGGTGGGTCCTTGTTGCATTTGTGCCGGGATAGAAAAAAGATGGAGGAGCACAAAAATCCATCATAAAATTAATAAAATAATAATTTAATACTATTATATATATATATAATTAGGTGGGAAGGGTGAAGACCCACGTGGGTGGGTCCCTGCTACATGTGCTTGTCGGGAAAGTAAAATGGGAGAAGCTTTGGCTTCTAGAATACTCCTTCCCAAAATTTTACCATTTTGCCTTCTAATTTTAAAAATTCGTAACTTACTCGTTCTAATTCCGAATTCACATCAGTTTGTAACCACGCGTTCATTACGATAAGTATTATTTAAATAGAATATAATATTTATCACCATTAATAATTCAAATTGATTGCAACTAGATATTTTCACAAATTGTAAACAAGAAAAAAATAGTTGGGAATAGGAAATATTAAATGTAAAAGACACGAAAATATAATTTTTTTATTTAAACATATTAAAATAGAGGGCACAAAAGCCTTTATTGTGTTTGTGTAAATTAATAAAAAAAAAATTTCATCCCTGACAAGCAAGCTGGACACAAAGTTTGGTGTTCAAATTTTAGTAGGCACAAATACCCGACACAAACTAATGTGCCTTTATGTTAGAGGGCACATTTGAGGTATTTTGGTGCTCAATGGAATTTAAAAAGCACAAATATATATTTGTGCTCAATGAAAATGAGAAGGGCACCAATCAATTGTGTTCTTAGCCCATTTTTCTTGTAGGGTTAACGAAGGGATTACTGGTTGGATTCAAGGAAAAAACAATATTGGACTGTTTAGGCTATTTAAGGAATAATGGTAAGTGTGGAGATAACTTTGCTCTCTTTTTACTTTTAATTGGGGGTGTAAATATAGAAGGGGGGGGTAAGAAATAAGAAGGTGGACATTGTAACAGTGTTAAGTAATCATAATCATGGTTATAATAATTGATCAGTTGAATAAAGAAGGAAAAAAAAAAAAAACTAGAACATAAGTACAAAGCATGCAAATTGCTACCAGATCCGGACCGGAAGAGAGAAAAGGTTAGATCAAGAAAAATAAAGTATCCTCGTTTTTTTCACGATTCCAAAAGAATGAGGATCTTCTTCGGATTCTATTTTTGAGGATTCTATCGATTTTCAATCATATTCGTTTATCGTATATCGTGTGGTCAGAAATTATTGTAAATTTTTTTATTTAAAATTAAATATAAACAATACTTGATCAAAATTGATCGTACGATGTGTGATGAACGAATGTAATTAAAGGATCTCTAGAATTCTCATAAAAAAAATTCAAAGAGGATCCCTATTCGATCCGAAAATATCTTAGTTGTTGAATGGCCATGATTTGAGCAAAGTCATTATCATGTTAGGATGTGATTTGTCAATGAAAAAGCAAGTTGATAATGAATAAATTCAAACTCTCAACGTACAATTAACCGGCTCGATCATGCAGTGACCCCAACTTTTAGTATTTTTTTTTTAATTTAATGATAGCGAGATCAAAATTTTAAATTAAGTTTTGTAAATCAAATGATGTGAAGACTTATTATTGGATTATTGTTAAGTGTCAATTAACTTGCTTATTTTCTATTGATGACACATCATTTGATTTATAAATTTAATCTCTCTAATATTGTCCTTCCTTTTTTTTTTTTTAACGAGGGACCATTAATTACTTGATTCTTTGAATTGTACATACATAAATTATTTGTTTGTTGTAGTACATTAGACCATCTCTAACTCTTGGGCTAAAAGCCAAATTTTTTAGCCCGGAAAATTTAGCTTTTAGCCCAAAAACATCTTTTCTGCTCCAACTCTTCTGCCCTAAAATCTTAGCTCGGAATTATTAAAGAATGAACTTAGACTAATTTTTTTCTTAAATCAATTTTAAAAAAATAAATATGTAGATTATTGTAAATTAATTTTATGAACATTTTAATCTAAAAAGATTTAAATTCCGATAAACATTTGGCATTTAGCCCGGGTTTGAAGGTGGTCTTAGTACACCACATAATGTGATGGTGCTCATATTTCCTTTTTTACTTTTTACCTTTTCCCTCTCCCTCTCTCTGGCGTAAACAGACGGCGCCCATATTTTCCTTTCCTCCCCACCATTTTGCAAGCAACAACCCATGATTTCATGGGTTTCCGTCTCATACCCGGGCTATACCCTCTAGTGCGACTAGACCCGCGATGGTGGGTCGGATCCACCTCCTACACCTGCGGCCGGATTTCCTTGGAGGGATTTAATTTTTGGAATACGACAAATGGCTAGCCAAATGGATACAACAGAAACCCAAGCACAAATTTAGCTTAAATTTAAAAAAATGCTTGGAATACTCTATTTTATAGACAACGTGTAGATCAGGTAGGATCTACTTATATTGGTGAGCTTTATTTATATTAAATAGTTCACATATAACTTGTAAAGTTTAGTTTCTCTAATCACTTTTATAATTTTGTTTAATTTTCTGGTGATGTTTTATAGAGCTGTATGGTGATGAAAAGTCTGCAAGTACTACGTACGAATGTGAAAAAGGAAGATGCATGGAATGGGATATCAATGTAGCTTTCACTCACGGGGCTCATAATCATCAATGTCTAACAAAAACAATGAAAGGTTCACAAAGTTAAGGTTTAGGGTTGTTGTTCTTCGTACGATAAGTAGTCACTAACCATTCAATTAAGAAAAGAAAAAACACGATGAAAGTCACTAACCACTCGTTTTTGTTGAAAGTCTTGCCGATTTTCTGGGTGTGTCAGAAGTGGGGCTAAGTGGCTACATAGAATTAGGGTCCACGTGAGAAAGTTAAGGTTTAGGGTTGCTATTCTTCGTACGATAAGTAGTCACTAACCATTCAATTAAAAGAAAACACACACACACACACGTTTTTGTTGAAAGTCTTGCCGATTTTCCGGTTGTGTGCGAAGTGGGGCTAAGTGGCCAGTGGCCACATAGAATTAGGGTCCACGTGATTCTCGTACACATGCATCATGATAATGTTTGAAGATCACAGATAAATGGACAAGGATTCTCTGCTCTCTTTGTTTCTGTATCCTCCTGTTTTGTGTGATCATGGTTAAACCATATCAACATTTTATATTTTTTTTTATAGAGATAATAAGACAAAAATGAATAGTAATATAAAATGTTGACATGACTTAACTGTGACCACACAAACAGGAGGATATGAGAGGGCACGAGAACAAGGAGGGCAAACAATCCCTGTCCCAGATATATAAATATGATGTGTCATTCCCTACAGTACTAAATATTCAAACACTACAAAAAAAAAATATGGCCAGCACAAAAAAGTTATTTGTGCCATGAGGCTTAAGGACACTAACATATGTGCCCTTAGAGCAAGTCCACCGGAGTGGAATTTGCCTAGCACAAAATATAAAAATCAGGCTGGGAGCCTGTCAATCCACTCCAGCCGACCCTTTTGCCTGGGACGCAGCCCAAGCTGGTCTCCAAGCTAGCCCAAATTTGACTGAGTAAGAAGCCGGCCTATTTGGCTGGCGCGTGCACGACAATCGCGCGTGGCCACGAGTAGGCGACAAGGTTGCAGAGGGCTGTCAACCCACTTGTGCTCCGGAGCCCCATTAGTGATGTGGCATGCTCATAGCCATTGGATTTCCAATGGCTAGTTATTCTAGACCGTTGGATTTCCAACGGTAAAAAAAAAAAATTAAATTTTACTTTTAAACTTGACCGTCCGATCACAGATCAACTGTCCACATTTTTTCTCCCAAAAAATTAAGAATTTCACTTTTAAAAAATACAGAAATTTTTTAATAAATTTAGATATTATTATTATTATTATTTTATTTTTTATAAATTCAGAAATTAAAAATAAAATTATTATTTTATAATAAATAATAATAATATTTTAATAAAATGGACAAGGCTATTTTTTGTTAGGGGTGGAGATGCTTTGGCCTATTACTGTTCCCTAGGGTCTATTACTGTTCACTTGAATGGATAAATGCGCTGGGTGCTAGCACAAAATCCTTAGAGGTGGACTTGCTCTTGTGTCAATAGCAATCAATAATGTAGCAACTAAAATGTTTTATGTGCTCTTTATGGGCGTGCTTCTTGATCATAGGACACACTATGGCATTTTGTTCGCAAAGAGTAGGGCACTATTGACAGCATATTTGTGCCTTAAATATTGATGCGAACTACTGTGCTCAAATTTTCATTGGCACAAATACATCATTTTTTTCTTTTTGGGCACTAACTAATGTACTTTTTGTTCAGAGGGGCACATTTGAGATAGTATAATGTTCAATAAAATTTAAAAAAAAGATATAAATGTTGTAAAATTGACAGTATGTGTATAGTGGAATAAAATAAATAAGACATAATATTTACGAGATTCGGCAAGTGTGTCTAAGTTCTCGGGGCAGCAGTAATATTTTATTTCATTATCTGAAATAATAGGAGTACAAAATAATTCTCACTATTTTCTCTTTTCTCTCTAGCCTAACTCACTGGTAATTTCTTCTGCATCTCTCTTTTTTCCTCTTCTCTTTATTTTTCTCCATAACTCCTCTTTCTTTCCTCTATATGTTTTTCTCTCATCTCTTTCTTCTTCTTCTCACTTCTTCCTTCCTTCGGTTGCTCTCATCTTATAGGCAAAAAATTACTATAACACTATTCACTTTACAAACTTTCGCCAAATGAATAGTGAAATACTATGCATGAATAGTAACTCATCCGTTTTTCTTCATATGAATAATAATTCATCTGATTTTTCTTTGGATGAATAGCAGCGAACTATTTATGTGGACCATCCATATATTATATTACACCAACAAATCAATTGTGTTCCTTGTCCATTTTTCTTGTAGTGAAAGTTCCAAATCTAGGTTTGGTAGTAACTGATGAGTAGATTTTATATTATATATTTAACCATATTCTTAGTATATTTTGGTT